CCATTTCCACTAACCTCTCTAGCTGAAGTTTGAGCTTGAGGGTTTGGGACAGTCTAAGTTTCAGCTCCCTGCAGTGATTGTGGGGTCTGGTTTGTATCACACAAGCAGCTGGCGAGATTGCCCGGAGCCCAGTATTCAAAAGGGTTTAGGGTCTAGGGTGCGGAGCCTGAGCAGTCCTGGGTGCTATAGTCTGCAAAGAAGCACCCCCAAAAATCGTCGTTTCTAGTTTGAAACTCGGTTCCCTTCTAGACTGCGCCGTGACGCGCCGTGGCCATGAGGCAACGCCCAGAAGCATAAGCCCGAACACCCTAAACTCAACCCTCCGCCCGAAACGAGGGTTTAGGGTTTAGGGTTACGCTAACCCCTCAACAGACTTGAACCCTGCTTTGTAGGTCGGTTCCATCTTGTACCAGAACTAGGGACCTCCCAGTCTAGTAACAAAAAAAGTCTGACCTCAACCCCCTCCCCGCCAAATAGGGACCTTCCAGTCTCGTAACAATAAATGACCCTAAACCCCTAAACCCTAAACCCTTTTGGAATCCTTGAATCGGACCTTGCTTGGAAACCGAGGCGGGATGCGGAGCAACCGCCTTCACCAGCATTGGCGCAGCATGCTTAGAGTTGCCATGATCGGGGGCTCCTGTGCAAGGTCTCATAAGATCATGATGTATGACTATGATTATGGTGACCGTTGTTGTGTAGTAGTACATGTTTTATATAGATATTGTTAGATGATCCTAACCCCTACAATGCCCTACAAGCGCTTGAGGGGAAGGAGGGGAGGGGGGCGGGGAGGGGGGCGGGGGGCCGGGGGCGAGAGGGCTCACTTTCTGACATGCACCTCCGACACGTTTCATGTTGATGAGGGGGACCTGGGAAGAAATGAAACTCCAACTCTAAAGTGGGGGCCCTAAACCCTGAACCCTGAACCCTAAACCCCAAACCCTAAACCCTAAACCCTGCGGTGGGGGGGTGCCCGCATGCCGCAACACCAGGCTCAAGTTCTTCCGCGGCGGGCAGGCGCTCTGGCACATCTCCTCATATTGGTAGCCCAGCCCACTAAGGCTTAGGGTTTAGGGTTTAGGGTTTAGGGTTTAGGGTTCAAGGTTCCCTTGTACAGGTAACCAACCCAAGAAAGGGTACCCTTATTCTCAGATGGTTGCTGGGCTGCCAAGTCATATTCTGCCATAGAACGCCTACTAATTGCTTAAGAACCCCCACCAAAAGTAAAAAGCATTCTTCCTTGTAAGGGTAATATGAGGACTTTTTTTGTTTGGGGTTCTTAAGCAAATAGTAGTTTCGTGTCGGGCTTTTGACATGAAGCATGTTGGTTTGGTGTCTATGCAACAGAGAGAGGACGAGCGACAAAGTGGTTCCAGGGTTTAGGGCGCAGGCTCCCAGCGGAAACCTGTTGCTCGTCGGCCAGCCATCAGCCATCGCCAAGGACCTGGTACGCGGGCCCGTGCTGACAAAAGTCTGAGGTTCTGCTTGAATAGGGTTTAGGGTTTAGGGTGGCGCAGGTTTTTAGCTAGGTGTTCTCAAAGCATGCGTGGCTGGCGTGGCTTCTCAGGCAGGTGGCGTCAGCTGCTTGCTTGTTGATACTGCGATATACTGCGACTCTTTTTTCAGCAGTCTACATGGTGCGGGTAAATTCCTGCCATGCTGCTGCAACATTGTGAGAATAGCCGAATCTGAAGAACATTCGTGCTCCTTTTGAACGGTTTCGGCTGAAGAGCTTCGTATCAGCATGTTCGCCTGTGCTAAGAATCCGCATTCCTGTCCCTTGGTCTTGGGGCTTTTGCAGCGAACATGCCATCAAAGGGAAGCCAACACCGAAACAAAGGCACCAGAACCTCACACACTGCTTCTTACTATTTGTTACCCATTGGCTTTGCCACCAAACGCCATCCTCTCAGTTCTTGGTCCTGAGGCCCTAAACCCTAAACCCCGAAACCCTAAACCTAAACCCTAAGCCGTGTGAAATGAAAGTGCCAAGTGGAAAGAGGAAAGATGGCATGCCCACAGATGGAAGAGCTACTAGTAGCCAAGACAAGACCAAACCCTAAACTTCAACTTTGAATGTTCCCCCTTATCCTAGCAGTCCTTGCTAGGGATAACAATACGTGCACTATAATCCCTACTAAGGACTGTTAGTATCAGGGGGAACATGCCAAACCCTAAACCCGAAGTAATGCCGGAGTCCCGTCACCCACCCTGGCAGGAAGATGGCGAGATGGGGCAGTGCCTCTGCAGCCAAAGTGCGCAGGTGGGAATGAGTGGCGTTGGTTTGGGATGTTCGGGTCCGAGCAGGACTTGCCACAATCAAGGTCGAAGGCAAGCCCCACATCCTGCAAAGCCTTGAGTATCTACTAATGTACTGATATACTTAAATTCGGAAAAAAGCTAATACAGTGATAAACAATATCAACCTCTTAATATAAGTATGATTGCATTTTTTTTGCGTGGCGGTTGCCTCGCCGACATGTCGTCTTGGTTTTGTGAGATGCAACTCGCACATACGCACCACTGATTCACCCTAAGGCAGGGAATCCACTGTTGGCAGGTTGGCTGTGATGCTGCCGCAGAGAGTTCTGAGGCAGTGCCAGGGGAGCTGCTTGCGATCCAAACGAAACACGGTTGGGCGGTGATTTGGCCTAAGCCCTAACCGTAAACCCTAAACCCCAAACATCCCAAACCCCAAACCCCAAACCCAGGCTTAGGGCTCAGGGCTCGTGAGGGCCTCCGAAGCAGCTTCCAAGCTTCAATACAGGATGAGACAGCTACCTGGCCTACCTTGTTCGAGTGTGATTATCTTGGGGACGAAATGAACCTGTCTTGGGGTGTGGGGTTCAGGGTTTAAGGTTTAGGGTTGAGTCCTTAGCTTTGGCTCGTGCATCCGGCATGGTCCTCAGTTCCGGGTTCGAAAGGGCTTAGGGTTTAGGGCCCATAGAACCTTAATAGGGGGTGTAGCAGTATAAGGCATATGACCCCAATTTGGGGGGGGGGGGGGGGGTTCGTTTGCATCCCGCAAGGTCTTGTAAGCCTGAGTGCAACATCGGACGTGAACTTTTCAACCGTCGTGTGGACCCTTTCTGTATAATCCCCAAACACATGTAAGCTTCTATCATCCATTTTGAAAACGCATATACACGCTTTCAAGCCCAGAACACAACTTCTAGAGGCCATATCCCCTAGAACCCTAAAGCCTTAAGCCCTTAAGCCCCTACTGTACAACCTTCAAGCCCTACGCCCTAAGCCCTAAAGCCCCGAAGCCCCGAAGCCCTGAAGCCCTCGTAACCCCAAGCCAGGCGTCTCAGCTTGCGAGGCATTCCGCCTGGCTCGGGGCTCATTTGGCCCCTCACAGCCTCCCTCGCCATCCTTTCATGGGTTCCCCTCCTACTCACCCCAAGGCTCCCCCCATAATCAAGGTTATTCAAGGGGGAAAGGGTAGTATGGAGGAGGGTAGAAGGAAAACCCATGATCCTTGAACCATGGATTTTTAGCTGTTTTTAGTCTGGGCACCCGAAAGCTCGGGCTCAAAGGGCATTGGTAGGGGTTCAGGGTTTGGGTGTTGGGGCCCTTTCCTTAAAAAGACAAGTTCGCACTTGGTGTGCATCCTTGCTTGCCGCCTCACCGCCTGTCCATGATGAACGTGCGGCGGCAGCTGTTTCTTATGAGTTCGGGCAGCCCTGGCGCTAAACCCGAAGCCCCTTCGGGGACCCAAACCTTCTTTTGGCAGATGGTCAGGGATGATTGAAGTTGCTGCTGATTCTTCTCTGCAATCGCATTGCTTGGCTCCGCAGCCTCTGCCTGTCTGGCAACAGAACACACCCTAATCGAGATCTACACCAAGTGACAACTTAGACAACTTTGTATTACCTGATGCTCACAGCTTATCCAGTGCATGTGCCTCAGTGAACGGCTCATTGACAGCGGCCCCGTCACAGAGGCGCCGGTCACAAGCTCTACGTGCAAGTGTGATGCGTCAACAACTGTATCTTTTTTTTCAGCCCTGAGCATTCCGGCCCGAACATAGAACTGCTCCCCATGTGTCCAGACCCCCTAACCCTAAACCCTAAACCCTAAACCCTAAACCCTAAACCCACCTTGGTCACAGGTGGTCACATGACCCACCCCGAGGCTTCGGAGAAGCCAGGGCAGGCGTCAGGACGGCTTCTAGCACACCAAGGGAGCCCAAATCCCCCGTCATCGCAAGGAAGCATAAACTAGGGTGCCCGTAGTGCCCTGATTTCCCTTTTTTTTTTTGGTTTGGGGTTTAGGGCTTAGGAACTAGGATGCCCCGTAGCCAGTAGTAGCCTTATTCCCATTCTTGGGGGGGTTCTGCTTCTCCTGAGTTCTGTTGGGCCACCTCAAAAGCAGATATTCAGGATTCTCCGGGGGGACATCTGAGTCAGTCTTACTGCAGTTGAAGCTAGTTGAAGCGGTTCTGGCTAGACAGATATTGATGGTATGCTAAATCAGGGGTGCACATAGCCAGAAGGCACTTTCTCTCCTAACCAGCTTGCTGATCTGTTCGCACAAGAAGGTTGCATCCTGCAATGTGTAAAGCGTGACCACGATGTATTGATGTGGCGACACTGGCCCACTGCACTAGGTAGGCAAACAACTGTAACCATCCGCCGCCATCAGGCTCATCACATGAGGCCCCCCCGGAACTCCTATTCCTTCCTATTCCCTTATTGAGTTTGCCTGATAAAGAAGAAGCAAGAACCCCCAGCACCACTGTTTTACGGGCTTTGAACAGGGAATCTGGAATTTAGGTAACCCGTGTGATCCCTTGGAGGATCAAGTATGCAGGTGGATCGAAGGCCTAAACGGAACTGCCAAGTAAACCAGAACCTACCTAGTTGCTTAAGAACCCCCAAAAAATTGAAGATAGTAATCCCTATATAGAACCCGTATGAAAGGAAGAATGTTTTTGTTTTTTTGTTAACAAATTTTTTGGGGGGTTCTTATGCAAATAGTAGGAACCCCACATCATGCAGCTCCCGGTGCCAGTGGCCGCACGCGGAGTCTTCGCCTCCGCCCCACTTCCGGGCAGAGAGACCACTGCCTCACCCCGGCTGACGCGCCCTTTGGCAGGCTGGGATACGAACACCCGAGGGAAAAACAGCGCACGGCCTATAGGGCTTACAAGGTTAAGACGATCGGGTTTCCGAAATTAGGGGTACCTTCTTGGGGTCTTATTCTAAGAGAATCCTACTAAGTCCGACTATCTGCGGCCTATTTTAGGGTTTCCCCTATTTCTTCGATGCAAGCAGAGGACTTCCAGCCCTGTTCTGGTGGGCTCTGGCTGCAACTGCTCCTACGGCACGCTTCGGCGGGCATAGTCGAACCAGAGGAGGCGTCGAACCAGTCATAGGGATTTAGGGTTTAGGGTTTAGGGTTTAGGGTTTAGGGTTTAGGGTTTAGGGTTTAGGGTCCCTATGGCCCCGAAACCTCGCCGACAGCCGTAATAAGTAGTCACAATCCTCCAGAGACAATCCGTGGGCATCATGTCCCATGTACCAAATCCTCCCTTTCAGACGAGTACGCTTAAACAAAATGCTTTACTCTAAGCCCTAGCCCTAAACCCTAAACCCTAAACCCTAAACCCTAAACCCTAAACCCTAAACCCTAAACCCACAAGGTGTGAGAGCTGCACGGCGACTAGTGCACAGAGCAACGCAGGCGCGACACTTTTTTTAACCCGGACTCTAATTTATAAACCCCCCAGACCCGGTGGCAAAGCCGAACCCTAAACCCTAAACCCTAAATGAACCTAGGGCCATGACTTCCTGAAGGACCAAATGAACCGTAAAATGCGTTTATGGTTCAGAAACCTTAATCGGGATTATAGTAGTACAAGGTGGGGCCCCTTAGTTATCAGTAGAGTTATAAGAGCCCCAAATTGTGGTATAAGGATCCTAAATTAGGTCATAAGTCCCTTAACTACAGTTAGTATAGTAAGGGGGCCCCTCCTTGTATAGGGTACATGACCCCAATCCTAGGGTTCGTTTGGTCCCCTAGGTTGCAGACTTGGGGCTTAAGGTTCCTGAAGTCCTGATACTTGGATTCATACCCTGTCGCCCCTTTTTTGGGTTCTAGGCTCCCTTATAGAGTTACCCCCCCCCCCCCCAAAAAAAAAAAAAAAAAAAACACACACACACACACACACACCCTTATTACAATCCCTAAGGCCTAAACCCTCATCCTAGCCCCTTTCGGCATTGCAACCTTCCTCCCCTTCAGCCTTGGGGCCGAATAATTACTAATAATATCCCCTTATGGTCCCCGTATAAACTTACGATAAAATCCTCCTAAAATAAAACCCCATTCTAATCATTCAGGCCCCTACATTAGCCCCTTGTCAGCAGGAAGTCCGAAACTGGTGGGGGAGGGGGGGTTCTAAATTAGAGTGCTCTTTGTCGGTATCTTTTCCTTCCGGATTCGAGTCCCTAAATCCTAAACCCCAAACCCTAGACCCTAAACCAAACCCGTTGAAAGGGCCAACCTAGAATGCCAGGTCTTGGGCGCCGAGCTTCGAGCCACCTTCGAGAAAACAGCTCCGAACTGGGCAGAGGGCACCTCTCATCTCGAGGACTGTGGGCTTAAATCCTGAACCCTAAACCTAGGATGCCCAGAGTATCCTTATTCCCTTTTTGGGGGGTTTAGGTTCCCTTATAAACCCCGTTTAGCAAAAAAGGGCACCCTTTTTAAGCCTAGGTTACTGGGCAGCCTAGAAACCCATAAACCCCAAATCCCAAAACCTAAACAAACAATTTTGTTTTCATCTTCTTCCCTTTTTTCTCCTAGACGCTTGTGACACCTGGCATCTTCTTCTTTGTTCCTTGGGCATGCCTAGGGGATACTCGAACCTCCAGCAGCGCTTGCACTTTGGGGATCCTACGATCTCTAAATGGATTTGCATTTCGCCTGTGCTATCTGAACCGGAAACGCTCTGTAAACCCGAAACCCCAGACCCTAATCCCTAAACCTGCCCGGGTCCGACGTGCAGGCCCCTCGTGAATTGCAGAACCGTCATCGCTCTTTGGGAGCTTGAATTCTCTACTAGGACCCGGAGTAGGCCCTTGTTCCCTTTTTTTAGGGTTTAGGTTCCCTTAGAAGCCCCTTTAAGCCAAAAAGAGCTGCCTTCTTATTTCTAGGTTACTCTTGGGTCTAGTCCTGGAGTGGCCTTGCTCACACTGGTTGGCATCCATGCCGGCATAATGTGGATGTTAGGCACCCGATACAGGGGTCGGGTATGGAAAGCTAGGTAGGCAGGGAGGGTGCCTCCGATCCGTACCATATCCTGTGAGAGTGGGGCTCCAGAAATCAATGAGGCCCATAGCACGAGCTCCGGCTGGAGATTTCAACAGACGACCTAGGCAACACAGGCACCGTTTCGTGGATTCGTCTCAATGAATTGATAGCAGAGGGTCCTGAGCTTCGACGGTCCCTTGTCACAATCGGAAACGGACACTGTAAAGGACTGGAAGAGAGAGGATTCGCCCAACTAGCCAGAGAATCTAAGGGTAGTTGCAGGGTCCCTTAATATGGTCCGTTACCTTCTTTAAAGGATTCTGAAGCCCGGGCCCTTGTGTTTCATAGAGTATACATGGGGCCCCCGTTTAATGGCCCATACTCAGGAACCACGCAACCCTAAACCCTAGACCCTAAGAGAGGACGATCTACTTCTCAAGCCCTGGTCGCCCCTTGGATGTCAACTTGGTGCATCCCTGGAAGCTGACAGTCGGGTTTAGGATTTAGGGTTTAGGGTTTAGAGTTTAGGGTTCAATGGACCTTGCCCCCATTTTTGGGGTTGATCCTTACTTACAGGCATTTGATGCCCGGCACGATGAGGAACATGCTAGAGTAGACCCGCGCATGCGCCATGAAGCACATTCTCAGATTCTTCCTCAACAGCTGTGCCCTGGAATCGGTTTCTTACCCCCCTAAACCCTAAACCCTTTAGTGCGTTCGCCTTCCTCGGACTTGAGCCCGGCAACCGCAGCACAGAATTCCCAAGCGCAAGTGTAGTCAGCCAGGCAGGTAGCAAGAGAGAGGCCGAACCCTAAACAGCGGTTTAGGGTTTTTAGGGTTTAGGGTGTAGGGTTTAGGGTGGTTGAGGGTATTTAGGGTTTAGAGTTTGGGGTTTAGCAAAAAGGGCTTATTAGGATTTATAAGGGTTTAGGGTTTAGGGAAAAGGGTTGCCGGAAGCTTCCCCAGTCCGTGCTCAAAAAGGGTTTAGGGTCCAAGCCAGGGATTGCTCACGTTGCACCTCCACACCCAAACCTGAACCCCTTGAACCCTTCAGAAGGAACTGAATCTAAGGCCTGAAGCATAGCCCTGAATCCCCTCCGGCCCTAGTCCAGACACCTTATACTTCCCCTTAACCCCAAAACGAGCCTACAAGCCCCGCTTTCTCAAACACCCCCGAGGAAAGGAGACGTCCCGAAGTTGTTTCCCTGCAGGCCAAAAAAAAACCCCAAACCCTAAATACCCGAAGCCCGAAAAAACTATTCTGTACTTGGGCCCTAAAGTCCCTAAATAGGAGGCACTTTAAGGCCCAAGTATTCCCTATTTAGGTACATGGACCCTTAGGGTCAGCGTCCTAAACCCCAAACCGCTAACCCCAAACCCCAAACCCCAAACCCCGAACCCCAAAACCCCAAACCCCAAACCCCAAACCCCAAAACCCCAAACCCCAAACCCCAAACCCCAAACCCTAAACCCTAAACCCTAAACCCCATGGACCCAAGCCCGAATCCACTGAGATCCTCCGAGCTGCTGGGGTTCCCTCGCCGCGGTCGCCAGGGCTCCGCGGGCTTGGACCCCAAGGCAGGTTAGGGTTTGGGGTTTAGGGTTTAGGGTTTAGGGTTTGGGGTTTAGGGTTTGGGGTTTAGGGTTTGGGGTTTAGGGTTTAGGAAAAAGGGTTTGGGGTTAGGGTTTATAGGGTTTTATAGGGGTTTTATGCAGACCGTCACTGCGGACCATCCAAACGTGAAGCGCGCCAGGATGCATAGGGTACAAACTAGGAGGAAGTCAGCCCTCGCCAGAGGGCTACGTCGGGGAACAGGACAGTGCATGGCCTGTACTTGTATGCCAACTACTGCCCTCATAATCGCCGGATATCCGCGGCCATGAAACAAAAGTGTTCAAGAGCTCATGCTGCGGTGGCACGGAGCCATGCTCAACCTCACTGATCTTGGCCACATTGACCGGAGTTAAACCAGCCTGTTGAAGCCACAAATGTAGGAAGAGCTGAAGTGCCGACACCCACTCGAACCCTAAACCCTAAACCGGAGCAAACCCAAGACTGCTGCAACATCCAGGTCTGCACGACCCATAGGTCACAAGGTCCTAGTTTCTGCAGAGCAGGGGCGACAAACACCTATCCTGCACAGTTTTTTGCTGCAACGCCGAAACAAGTTTCGCCGATTGAGCAAGTTGCTGGCTTATGGCGCGCCATTCCTGAGTGCCTCAGCAAGTTTCAGGGCCTTTTAGCTGCGTGCCTTCGTGGCGGCGGCATTGTCTGCGGCCTTGTTGTGGTGACGGGTCTCGCTGGCCTTGGGCTTGGTGTGAGAATTTAGGTGCGGGCTACAAGGCAGTCTCGGCTTGTCGCAAGAAACGTGAAGAAACCTAGTCTGTGTGAAGCAGGGCCCGAAATCGTAGGAGGACGCGGCCAAGTTATCGGAGAACAGTGATGCTGAATTGGCGGACTTGATTGCCGCGCATGCCGCATACAGCCCTGCACGAAAGTTGCCCTGACGACCGGGCAGGATACCGTTTTCAACAACGGTAGCGAAAGAATCGACCATGCGCTGGTAGGAACAAACTTGTCAGGATGCGTTCTCAAAGCACTTCACAGGTATGTGTTGGCGACTTGTGCCCTCAACATCGGCTGCGTGTTTGGGCATACCTGCGCTCCCTGGCGTGATAGATGGCGGTTTCCAAACGGAGGCGCCCCATACGTAGCCCAAGATTCGATTGTGTAACCCTATTCAGGAACATTGGCTTTACAGTGGAGAAACCCTAATCCCTAAACCCCTAACCCCTAAACCCTAAACCCCTTGAAGTTTTTCGGTGGCTGGCACTGCGCAGCATCTAGCACCCGGGAATGTCTGCACATGTCCCGGTAGTTCTCAAGAACGTCTCCAGGTTTTGGTTGAGGGCCCAGATTCCTTAAGCATGCAACTAGAGGGAACTAAGCCAGTCTCGCCTCGCCCCATTCCTTCAGTACAAATTGAACCCCCTAATTAGGGGACTTCAGCTTTAAAGCTGAAGTCGTGTACCTCATTCTGATATAATTAAGCGCTGTGAGACAATAGGGGTCAGAAACCTTTTTGCGGTTAGGCCTCAAGTCCGCAAGTCCAAGTTGAAATCTGCAAGCTGTACTCTAAGCATCACCCCGTGAAGGCCTGCTTGAAGGGCCCCTGAAAGTGGAGGGTTAGTTCCCCCAAACCCTAAACGAAGGCACTAAACTCCCCAACAGCTAGGCCAATAGCTTAAAAGTAGCTCCCTAGCCGAAAGCTCCGAGTCCCTGCGCCCGAGGTCAGCTCAACCCCCATGAGCCTTCCCTGGCAGCAACTCGGCCCTGAATCCTTAGCATCCCCAAAAAGCATGAAAACCCAAGAAGCCCTAAAATCCCATAAGCCCTAAGGCCAAGACAGGGCGGGGCCGGCTTGAGAAGTTGAGGCGTTTGGGTGTGTGTGGCCTTTGGGCTCTATGTGAGTTGCGAGGCTTTGCACCTGAGAAAGCACGAATCCCCGGTGCTTGTGTATTGCTGAGGCAAGGACGCGCGGGCGCTCACGCACGCGCGCGCGCGCTGGGGACATGCCACTCAACGATCAGCAACGCAGAAGCCCCAAAAAAAGCCAGAACGAGCATCCGATCATCCCTACGCAGGCGATCTTTGCTGCCATGGATGCAGCACCCGGCAAGCAGAAGCTGCGAGTGAAGGAGCTGTTTGAGAGCTGCGCTTGGGCTGCAGAGCCCACCCAGAGCCCCCCAAACCCTACACCTGAACCAGTAGGGTGAAGGACCAGTGCTTCTGCTGCCTTGAAGGGTCTCCGTCATGTTGCATACGGCTTCCCGTGATGCGCTAGGGCTGTGAGAACAGGAGTAGAAAAGGGAAGCCACCTTTGGTGGGTCTAGGAGCGGCTGAGCAGCTTGCTATCTTCGTCTTGAAGTCGGCACTTCACAAGGCCACCCAAGCCTTCTCAAACAGCGTAGCGGAAACATATTCTGGGGTCGGAAGAGTTACTATAATAAAGGTAGTATTCCCGTATGGTCCCTGTGTAAATATACTACAAGACCCCCAAGACCCTGCTCTAAGAATCAAGGCCCCCACTTCACTTCAACCCAGCTTGGAATCTTTGGACCTTCCCCGAAGCCTAGGTGACATTGTGTCGGCCATCGTCACGTGGTGGCTGCGTCGCAACCACAGTGATGGGAGGCGTGTGGGTGCTCGACAGCCTGAGCGTGCCTGAGCTTGTTTGAGGCTTCAGGGACGCTGCATGTGGAGGTCTTTGAGTTTGGGAGGTTTCGGGGTGTGCTGTGGATTTCTTGGATTTTCTGTCCACCTGAAATATAAGCGATTGCCCTGAGCGCTATGATGCCTCGGTGGCATAGCCCGAAGAGTGGAGACCTGGCGAGGGCTCTTGCAGCAAAATGCAAAGCCACGACCCTAAACCCTAAATCCTAAACCCTAAACCGAGTAATCCTGAACCTCCTCCAGCCTTTCAACTGAGACTTGATGGGGATCTAAGGAATCATGGACGCCGCCTGCGGGCATGGCTTGGTGGGCTTCTTGCCCGCTTCCTAAAAGCCCCCTTATTCCCTTTTTTAGGGGTTTAGGCTTATACTCTTATAAGCCCCTGTTAAACCAAAAAGGAGTACCCTTTTTTCTTCCGCGGTCACGCTTGGGTCTAGTATTCTGTTGAGGATCCTATGTAAGGGCAGCAGGTGGGAGGTGCGAGTGCGGACTGACCTTGTGGAGGGACCCTCTGTCCCCTCCCCTGGATCTTCAGCAGTGAAGTGACAGGTGTCAGGGCCCCCCAAAAACCGCAACCACGGCACAAAAAGGGGGGGAGGGGTGGACCCTAATCCCTAAACCATCCCCCCTAAACCTTACACCCTAACTAAACCCTAACCCCAAAAAGCCTTTTTTTGCCCGAGGAATGCTCCTGTCACATTGCTTCCCAGATTCTGCAGTTTGTGCCGTCGACCGGGAGGCGGGTGACGAGGTTCAAGTTAGGAGCATAAGGGGGTTCAAGCTTTTCTTGCAGCGGTAGGGGGGCAAGGGGAGAAGGTGGGGAATGGAGGGTGGGCGCGTGCGGGGGGAACATAATCGCTCAAGAGCTCCCGCAGATGTAGGCATTCTAAGCCCTCAGTCGCCACCGCTAGTTGGCGCAAACGAGCGGGGGGGGAGGCTCAAGAAGAAAGGGTTGAATGAGCCAGTGATATGCTGCGGGTATGGGCCCTAAACCCTAAACCCTAAACCCTAAACCCTAAACCCTAAACCCTAAACCCTAAACCCTAAACCCTAAGTATGGGGCCCGAGCTCTGTCCCAAAGGGTCCATGTATAGTATATACTTGGGCCTTAAAGGGGTTCCTATACAGTAGCTTTAGGGCCCACATATTAAATATGTACTATATGGGTACATGGACCCTTAGGGTGTTCTCCTGCAGAAGGAGCGAAAGCTGATGCGAGTCGCGCTGTCCACTTGGCAGCAGTCCGGCCGATGCCTGGACAACTTCCAGTCCTTCACCTCATTCTTAGGGTTTAGGGTTTAGGGTGAGTGTTTTGGGTGCTGTGTGAGGCTATGGGTTGTCCGCAGGGGAACCAGGGGCAAGGCTTCAGCAAGAAAGTTTGGGGTTTGCGGTCGAATTAGGGTTTTTCGATTCTTGAATCATTCTGGGCTTATTGCAACCAAACATAATCTGTGTCCTTCCGACACGGAGGGCGTGACGTCGCCATCTGAACTTCCAATGCCAACGTAACAGATGTTGGGCTGATGCAAGGGCGCCCTAAACCCTAAACCGTTGCCTAAGTCTTGTAAAGGTTTATACTGTTTCGTGCCAGAACAGCCAGCGACATCAAACATGATGGTTTTTGCAGGGCGACTCGATGTTATGTCCGTTTTGGGGTCTAAGAGCATCACATTCCGGAACATGTTCCGAGGGTTTGAAGAGCCAAGCTAGTTGCTTAATGAGTTCCTCGTGCAAGCTCAATCTTGCTCTTGAAAGAACTTAGGTTTCGACTGGGCGACCTTTTGCAAGAGGGATCGCAGTGGCTGGGGGGCTCCCTTGGCGCACGCGACCCGGCCGATCCGGCTCCAAACACCCTGGTGGTAGGTGTGCACGCTTGCAATCAAGCAACGTTGGACGTGCTGGAGTTGGCCACGCGTTTCGGCACCTCATGGGCAGTAGTGCCCTGCTGCATGCGCAAGGAGAAGTTCTTTCCCGGGGGGACGACGCATCTGGACCGCGACGAGCACTATCCTGTCATGTGCGGTGGTCTTTGTGCGAAGTTCGACGCCGACATGCTGCATAGCATCGACCGCTTAATTTCAACGAAGAACTTGATCATAGCCAAACGAGCGCCCAGGCCGCAGACTAGCGCGCGGGGGAGATGAAGGGGTGAAGGTCAGCAAGGAAGTCAGATATGCAACTGCTCCAAACAAAGCTCGCAACGGCCATGGCCACGCAAGAGCTTGTTCGGTAGCCGGGGCTCCACAAACCATCTTGCAGCCGATGGAGGACCACAAGGAGACTCGCTGCAGCGGACGAAGACGAAGCGAGATCTGCCAAGCCATAAGTCTGAGCCTGGGCCTCTGGTAGCCCGCGATACCCTAGTCATGTTTTTTTGGGTTCAAGGTTCCCTTATAAAGTAACCAGCCGCAAAAAGGGTGCCCTTATTAAAATATAGTGAGTCTTATAAGGGCTGAGAAGCCAGAGTTGTCGTCAGCGGGACGGACAACGATCGCTTGAAAGTGGCCGGCAAGCAGTAACTGCATGGCGACCTGCGTAGGCATGAGGCGTGTGGTTTGTCGATAGACGGATCCAATATGCGCCAAATTGGCATCTCTTAAGAATCAGGGAACCTAATAAGACCGACTCTTCGCATGAAAAAAGACCGAGTAACATGACAACAGTCGTCTGGAAAAAAGTTCTGAGATGTCAAGATGATGTTTCTTCTACCCGCCCGTTTAGAGGTGACACATTGACTAGCATCTAGGGCTCGGAAGAACATTGCTTGTGTCTCCGAGCAGTCGCCTTGCAAATTCAACAGGAGTCTAAGATGTGCAAGATGAGATACCAACACCTCCCAAAGAGTTGTTTTTTGGTGGTTTTTTATGCTTAAGACTTCACAGACACAATCACCCTCCTGGTCTTTCATCTCCCAGGTGACTGGGGTAAGACGAAGTTAAACGCCCGGGTGGTTTGGAGAGCCTTGAAGTGTACGTATGCTTTATATGGGCTGGCAACCCTAAACCTTAAACCCTAAACCCCATTCTCTCGGTGAAGTATGTGCAGAAGTCCATCACCGTGGTGGAGCCTTCAGCTTCTGTCGGAGGTACTTGCCAGGCTTCGAAACAAAGTTTTCTTGGAGACCCAAAAGCCTAGGACCCTAGGAAGTTTTTTTAAAAGCATTTTTTTTTGGGGCGGAATGACTCGGGAGCTTTGGGGAGATGAAGAGTCATCAAAGATGCTACTTTTCAACTAACTAACGACCTGTAATTAGAAACGAAGTGTTCAGCAGTTTTGCAGCTCCAAACCCAGGATGTTGCTAAAACTCACCATAGAAAACCAAGTCAAAAGGACCACTCCAAAAAACCAAAAACATTGTAGCGACAATTGAAAACAATATCAAAACCACAGAGCCACAAAACCAAACCTCGAGCATCAATTGGAACTACGTACTCCCAAGGTATTACATGAAGAACAGCTGCAAAACATTGCAACCATGGAAACTGCAAACCCATAACCACTGAGCAATATGGGCCGCAAAAACCCATGAACAAGTGAACCATTTGCTTGCCCAATATCGTTCAAGACGGATGATCAGCTGATGACCAACTGCAAGACCACTGACTTGGCCCTTGAAAGCTCCAGAGTCCAGCCACAAGGGTTCAGTGTTTGGGTTTAGGGTTTAGGGTTTAGGGTTTATAGTCAAAAGGGTTTAGAGTTTAGGGTTTTGATCATCTTGTCCTCATGTTGGAGACTCTGCCTGTTGATTGGCTTGCTAGAGTATGGGAATCCAGTCAGTAGCTGTGCTTGGGCAGTTTCTGGCAGCACGCACGGGAGTCCGGATGCAAAAGGGTTTAGGGTTTAGGGTTCTGCAATGGCCATGGAAGCCAGAATGGAAGATTCTGCGCTGCTGACGAAAGATCCTCCGCTTCCCAAATGTCCGAGAAAGCAGGCAAAGAAGGTGATTATTGCCCTTGTGGGCGTCGTCATCCTTGCCGTGGTCGTCGTCATCAAGCTTTGCCATCAAAAGGGCTTCGCCCTCCAGACGACACTGCGAGATGCCACTGATTTGGTGAACAGCGTTGCCTGGTCCGCCGATGGGCGCCTCGCTGTGGGGTCTCAGGACAGGCACGTCTACGTCTATGGTCAGGACTTCGCCCTCCAGAAGATGCTGAGAGTTGCCGCTGTTCTCGATGTTTACAGCGTCGCCTGGTCTGCCGATGGGCGCCTCGCTGTGGGGTCCGATGACCATGTCTACGTCTATGGTCAGGACGTCGCCCTCGAGAAGACGCTGCGAGATGCCGCTGATTCGGTGTACAGCGGGGTCCAGTGACCACTACGTCTACGTCTATGGTCAGGGCCTTTGATGCGACAATGGCATTGACTGATTGTGATAGGCCGTGGCTGTACTTCGCGGCCTGTGGCTCCAATCATGGGGGATACTTTCCAGCAATGTGTGGGCAAAAGTGCATGCTTGTGGTACTCGTACGCAAGTGAAGCAGCTGATGCAGTAAGATCAGCTTCCAACATGCATTGCACCTGCTCAAATCCAGTGCCGAGGCGATCCGCGCTCGCGTCATGCTGGAGCGCGCCGGCCGCGGCCACGCCATGGGGACTGGCAATCCAAAGAGAGACCGTGAGACCCTGCAGCAACTCTTCTGTTGAGGCGTGGTGCCCGACTGGTCTCGTGGCGAAGCCAGCGACGTGGAAGGTTACAGCGCGCGGTACTACGAGGGACACTTCGGCTCGGAAAGCAGAGGTGTGGGGAGTTCTAGGATTCTAGGACTGTGGGACCAGAAAGTTTGGTGACTCGCAGAGTTTGATTAGGGAATGTTTGAGCAGCCTGTATACTCCATTACTATGTACATATTATATATATATATATGATATTATCACAAATGCTCCGACTTCGTGCAGTCGGCATGTACAGCAGGGAGCATCGATGAAGCATGCTGTGGTGCTAAAAGAGAGAGTCTGCACGTGCCTGTTGTCAACAGTTTTTGTGCTGTGCCGGTGTCTGGTTCATGTGGTTCAAACTTTTTGGAACTTACTGTAAGTGTTGGACGTTTCGGCTGTCTGGCCTGGCAAACGATAGCTTGCAGGATATGTGGCTCCTTCTGCTTCGTCTGATCTCCTGCTGGCGTACCCAGAGCACGTGCGCTGGATCGAGGACGGTGCGTAGGACATGTGTCTCGGACAGCGTGCCCCACTCCATACGCTATTCGTCCATTCTGCTCTCACACCATGGGTTTTCAAGGAGTGGCTTTGCTTGAATTCTGTATTGCTTTGCCGCTGTTACCTTGCCGAAGCCAAAAAAAACCCAAAGCCCTGAACCCTAACCGCCCTAACCCCTATGCCCCCCTCCCCGAGGATGTCAGCGACTCTTTGGTCGCCGCATGGCCTCAATAAGCACACCATACTACCGTTTGCCTTTTTTTGGCGGGTGCGCATGGTGAGGTTTGGGGGGACATTAGAGGGCACCATCTTGGGGAAATGCCCAGTCCGCAACCCAGACAATTCCCCACTACGAGCCCGTAAGTCATGGCTGCAGTGACTTCGCTGCCATATTGGCTTACAGAAGTGACCTGACAGCCCCGTGCGTGTCCGACTCAGCGACACGGCAAGCGTTCGGAGCACCATGGTGATCGTGCACAAGAACACCTTCCTTCAGGTCGTGTCTGAGGAGCAAGCAGGCACACCTGGACATCGCCGTGCCTCTAGTGTGCCTGCCGACTTTTGTTTCAAGGATGCCCTGGACAGCGAGGATGATTCCAGCTCCGAACTCGAGTATGTCGAGGTCGAGGTCGAGATAGTCATCCGGTACAAGCAGGTCATCTTCAAGAGGTCCAACTCCAATTGGGGGGGATTTCAGATCCTGAGCCCGAAACCCTAAAACCCTAAACCCTAAACCTTTGCAACTCCACAAACCCTAAATTCCCCTAGAAGTCCTGAAGCCCCGGAAGGCCGAACCCGATCTCGCTTCCTGAGCTGCCAGACGTGACCGGCTTGAAGGTACATGTGACTAGGGCCTTGAAGCTATAGTCTCCTTAGGGTTTAGGGTTTAGGGTTTAGGGTTTAGGGTTTAGGGTTTAGTCTCCTTAGGAATTGTTTTATTCACATAAATCCCGAGCGCTATTTTCATTGTGGTTCTAAGGGGGGGGGGGGTATGGTAAGCGGGATATTTTTCATTTTCCCCTTAAAGAGGCTCCCGTAAATGCTTAGAAGGTACCTATACTTCCCTTAGTCTTACCAAGGGCCAGTAGGTTGAAGTCCTAGGCAGGCCCTTGAGTGGGACCTTTTTTATTTGCCCTTCTTGGGTTTAAGAGGATCATAATTTGGGACCCTAAGCCCTAAACCCTAAACCCTAAACCCTAAACCCTACACCGGACTACTTTTCAGAGAGGTTTAGGAGCCTTCCGAGGTGAAGAACACTTTCATCGAGGTCCAGGAGGAGGAGGAGGAGGAGGACGAGGTCGCGGTCGAAGGCCCGACCTTGCGCCGAACGAAGTCGATGCCTGTGGACTCCGCAGTGGACCGGGGCGCTGAAAATCTCTAGGGGCCTGAAGAATGAGAATTATAGGGTTTTGGGGGAGATTCTGGTATAATTATACAGGGGCCATGAGTTATCATAAGGGAAGACTATTCATGATTCTTCCGGCCCCTAGAGGATGTCACCGAGCCATCCCAATGCGAAGCTGCTTAGGTCTAGGTTCTCGAGTATAAAGGCTTACTCGACGAGGTCGAATTCACTCTCCGGCCATGCATGCATAAGAGTGACGTTGGACTGTGGAAGGAGGAAAGAACTGCGCCACTTGTTCGATGTGGTCTCTGCAACTCAGACCTCTTAATCCAACTGCCTTGCCCCGCCCCGGCGTGCACGGCTGAACTCAGTCCTGACATCACGTGCTTCTATAAGTAATGTCAGAAAGGGGCGCGAGGGGAGGCTGGTGTGTACGTCGAAAAAGACTTGAGTAGCGCAAAGCTTCCTCCATCCACAGTCGTCTGAACGTTCTTTTGAGCGGGGGCTCATATGGTAGTCGTCCGAGGTGGGGCCCTCAACCCTGCACGTACAGCCATCGCCCTTTCTAGCCAGTGTGGGCCCCTACACGAGGGTCCGTGGCATACGGCCAAGAGGCATACGGCCAGTAGGCATATGGCCAGAAGGCATGCAGCCAATAATTATTTCTTGCAAGCTCAATGCAAAGATGGAGAAAAGAGGCCTGATCTAAACCCTAAACCCCAAACTCTTGCTCTCTGGAACTTACTGCAAAGCAATCGTCAAGCTTCGGGTTCAAGCGCCTTTTTTCTTTTGTGCATCGGAGCTTCCAATATTGCAGCCGACAGCTCGCTCCCGATGCACTGTTACCGATTGTCCCTTGCAGGGGTCGGGTGGGGGGTGTGAGGGCCACTGAAGCTCCTTGCCGATACCAGTAGCCTTCAATTTGCCCTGGCCACATGCCACTGAAACTGTCCGCTTGGGACGCTCCCTTGCCCTCAGATCCTTCAGCAGCATCCCGAAGTAAAACCCTCTGAACCCCCAACCTTGATAAGCCGAAAGCAGGCGCGAAAACCTTCAACACAAAATCGCCGAAACTTTCGACTCACCCCCTGGAAACTAAACCCTCCACCCTAAACCCTGAAAAAACACTAAACCCTAAACCCTAAACCCTAAACCCTAAACCCTAAACCCTAAACCCTCCGCCATCAAGGATGATTTCCGCAAGCTCAAGGAGCCGAACCAGCAGCTCTCCCGCGACGGCCCCTTTTTCATCGTGGAGGGGCCCGAGGCCCGAAGTGAGGGTTTATATGTAGGGCCTAAACCCTAAACCCTAAACCCTTCAGCCCTAAGCCCTGAACCCTAAGCCCTAAGCCCTAAGCCCTAAGCCCTAAACCCTAAACCCTAAACCCTAAACCCTAAACCCCAACCCCAAAATCTCCAAGCTGTAGTGGCCAGGCCATTCGTCTGCTTCTGGTCAGCGACTTTGCCTTGCCCTCAGGGTTTAGGGCAAACGGTACAGGGAAGCAAGGTAATATGGGAGTGACAATTAGGGTTTAGGGTCTAGGGTCTAGGGTCTAGGGTCTATGTTTAGGGTTTAGGGTTTAGGGTTTAGGGTTTAGGGTTTAGGGTTTAGGGTTTAGGGTTTAGGGTTTAGCGAAAATCAGGGACCCCTATTAATTACCCCCAACTAGAAGGATTCCCCTACAATAAGGACCCCAATAAGGTACCCCTAATTTCGGACATGGCCCATATGAAGTGCTGGAAGCCCGTTTCGTGGGCATGGTGACGACACCCCTAAGGGTTAGGGTTTAGGATTTAGGGTTTAGGGTTTAGGGTTTAGGGTTTAGGGTTTAGGGTTTAGGGCTACATGTCACCTGCTCAGCGAGAGTTGTTGGGTTGTGTAAGACGACGTCGAGGTCGTGTTGCCGTGGCCTGTTCCCAGTCGTTACCTGGATTTGAAAGCTGGATCTCTTCGTCTGAAAAGTCCGAGAGCAAGAGTTGAAGCACATAAACCCTGAACCCTGAACCCTGAACCCTAAACCCTAAACCCTAAACCCCCTAAACCCTAAACCCTAATTAAACCCTAAACCCTAAACCCTAAACCCTAAACCCTAAACCCTAAACCCTCACACGGCGAAGGGAAGCTGGGACCTTCAACCCCCAGAGACTCCTGGGGGACCAAAGGCTGTGGCGAAGCTTCTGCTGAAGCCTTCTCTGCTGGGATCCATGGCGCAGTCGATAGAGTCGAGGCTCGCGCGCACCTTGGGCTTGCAAGCTACCCTAAACCCCTAAACCCCTAAGCCCCTAAACACCTAAACCCCCAAACCCCTAAACCCCTAAACCCCCAAGCCTCCAAACCCCCAAACCCCCAAACCCCCAAACCCCTAAACCCCTAAACCCCTCTACCCGGGCTTCAGGGGGCTTAGATATAAGAGTTCAAGGTTTTTGTGTGCATGCGTGCCGAGGGATTCGGTGTGGCAAGATGTGTGTCCTGTTTGCAAGCTGTTTGTATGTCTGGGATGAAAGAGAAGCTGGTTTAACCCTGAAGCCTCGAATCCCAAAAGGGCCCGGCTCACAAGCCTGTCGGCCTTCCTAAGGCCTAAGCGCATGGGTTTAGGGTTTAGGATTTATGTTTAAGGGTGTAGGTTTAGGGTGTAGGGTGTAGGGTTAGAGTTTTAGGGTTTAGGGTCTAGGGTTTAAGGAGAGCTTTGCACAGCCCAGGAGAGATAAGCGGCCGCGCTGAAGAACAGGCCCTTGGGGGGGGAGGGGGGGGGGGGCTGAAGAGCTGTCAAGAAAGCACCCTGTGAACCTAAGCCCACTCAAGAGCCTAAGGCTAGACCCTGCAATGGTGCCCTACATACCAAGCCCCCCCCCCCCCCCCGAAAACAGGGTACGACAGCTCGGTTCAGTGAGAGAGAACGAAAGTGAGCGCGAGCGAGAGGGAGCGGGAGAGAGAGAGAGAGAGAGAAAAAAAAAAAGGAGGGCTCTTCTGGTTTAGGGTTCAGGGTTTGGGGTTTCCTATTTGCAGGTGGGGGGAGGTGAACGTTCCTAGCCCCAAGGCGGGGTAGATGCTGCCAGTACCGTGGAGGGTCTCGATTGGGTTTAGGGTTTAGGGCCTCGATGTTTGCAGCGACGTAGGGAAGTCGAAGAATTGCAGTCTCACACATGCCCTTGGCATGCGTGCGCATGTGCCATCATCAGCTTTGCAGAAACTCGGGGGCTTGCACCAGTGTACTTCTGAGTGGGGTCGAGTAGAGGCCGAGCTGTCAAAGGAGCCTCATTCGGAACTTAGAGCCAGTCTTGAGTGTACAGTGGTGCTGGAAAAAGAGTCGGGGAGGGGAGGGGGTGCGGTGGGCCCGAAGAGCAAGGGACGGGGTAGTGAGGATGTTGCCGTATCGTTGCTCCCGTGCCTCAATGGCTCCCGGAGCGACGAAGCCTAACATGGGGGGAGGGGGGGGAGCACGAGCGCCCGTAGGATTCCCTATGCCCGAAACACAGGAAAGAAGAGAAAGAAGAGACAGGGCTTCCCAGGACAGAGGGGCTTGTGGGCTCTAAAGATTATGGGTTTACCCTAAGTCCTAGACCCAAAGGTCTGATTTATTTTTGTTGTTGTGGGGTGATGTGCAGGATAATTCGAACCCTCCCTTGCGGCTCGGCCAGCTATGCGGGAGCAGACAAAAAACCCCTAAGCCACCGAGTAAGCCCTACAAACCCTGAACCGAAACCCTACACCCTAAACCCGAAACCCTAAACCCTAAACCCTAAACCGCCCTTTAAGCCCTGAGCTGCCTTGTGTCATCGTAAGCCATCGAAAACTTGAGAGTAGATTCTGCCAGGTGATGCTTCTCCTTTGCACCTCCACTGCAAGCCCATCCAATGGTACCTTGGGGTTTAGGGTTTAGGGTTTAGGGTTTAGGGCTAGGGTTTCGGGTTTGCGAGATGATCATCTTGTCCTCATGTCTGAGACCGTGCCTGTTGATTGGCTTGCTAGAGTATGGGGGTCCAGTCCGTAGCACTGGAAGCCTGTGCTTGGGCAGTTTCTGGCAACACCCACGGGAGTCCGGATGCATTAGGGTTCAGGGTTTAGGGTTTAGGGTTTAGGGTATAGGGTTTATACGCGCGTCCCGGCCTCAGCCCAGGGGTTAAAAAGGGTTTAGGGTTTAGGGTTTAGGGTTCAGGTTCCTATTGAAGCAGAGCAGGTTGCTTCAACTAGGACAGCAGCTTGCGAAGCTGAGGCGAAGCGAGCCTGATGGAGCAGGTGCTGTCCCGGGAGACCCCTTCCCCCCCCCGACCCCCAACCCTCCCACCCTAAACCCTAAACCCTAAACCTGATACATCCTTGAAACGAATGACGATCTGGTATCGCCTCAGACCAAGAACCAACCGAAGCCTTGCCGGGCTTGTGCGAGTGTGAGACTCGAAACCCTACCCACCCACGCCCTCCCCCCAACCCCCCGCCCCCCCCCCCCCCCCCCCCCCCCCCCCCCCCCCCCCCCCCCCCCCCCCCCCCCCTCCTCAACTCCATGACTTCATGGAGTTTCTTCGAAGACTGGGATGCCGGTCGGTCTCGGGGTTTCGGGGTTTCGGGGTTTAGGGCTTTCGGGCTTTGGAGGTTTAGAGTTTGGGGTTTAGGGTTGCGGGGTTAAGGCGCAGCTTGAAACTTCATGCAGATCACCCCATGGTTTGGGGGGTCTTGTAGCCCCTAAACAGGGACTCCGGTGGGAGGTGGTCTCATTGCTTGCGTTATGATGTGCTTGGGATGATTAGGGGACTCCAGGGGTGTGAACCTACTCCTGGCTGATGAGGACAAGGGTTCTTTGCATCTTGTACTTAGTCTGGTTGCCCTGGCAGAGTTTGGTTTCGTTTGCCAAAGCTCGTGAAATCACGCGGGCCGAGTGCTTGTTCCAAATCGCCGCCTGCCTGTCAGCGGCAGACGAACCCGAAACTTAGCCCTAAACCCCCCGAACCCCTCTGTCTTGGCTTAAGCTACGTTGCGTCAGCAAGACAAATGAGGAGCTCTATCATGCAGCCCGGCTTGGGATGACGTGTCAAGATGGTCAGCGTCGAAACTCGAACTGGCAAGCTCCAATATGTTTGCTGGATTTAGGGGCTTGGGGTTTCACGGTTTTAGGGTTATAGGGTTTTAGGGTTTAGGGTTTAGGGTTTAGATTCAGCCCATGTCCAATGGCTCCAAAGTCCTGGCTACGGTTGCGCCAGCAGCGCAGCTGCACTGCAACCTGCGCGCCGAGGGCTTTGTGGCGCTGGAGCTTCGATGCGGCCTCTTCGGTGCCGATCTCGAGCTCCTTTCGCCCAGCGACTGCGTGTGGCGCTCCTTAGCCCGCTCTGGCCCTGTCCTGTCTGTCATGGGCCAGGCGCGGGCAGGCTTGGTCTTGGAGGTGCCTTTGCAAGAGCTTCCCCCGTCAACCGAGCACCTAGTCCTGGCTACTGTCGGCCGCACAGCCTCTGAGGGAGGATGGCTGTGCCTCTCGGTGGGGTCGACGTCTGTGATGCGGAGCCACGCGGGCAAGGACAGCTGCGCACAGGGCTCCATGCTTCTGGTGCTGTCGCGCTCTCCTGAAGCATGGCTGCTTCAGGAGATGGTGCCGAACCTCGGCCTCAGTCTTGAGCAACAGGCAGGTGCGGTTGTGCGCGAGCTCTACTGGCCAGAGGTCGGAGTGGCCATCCAGCGAACATCCATGGATTTCCAGTCTGTCACCTGGTTGGAGGTTTTCAGGGCAGACCCTGATGGACTTTGCGATAGCGATGAGGAGAAGGACATGAAGGAATCAACCGAAACAGCCGAAACCGCGAGCAACTATGTCCCACCAGCCATGCCCTGCCGATCCAGTCTTCCCGAGCCACCTGGAGGTTGGGACTGCCAGCAGACTTCCCGCGTTTTGGAGGATTCTGCAGCAGGGCCAGCATCAGCCACCCAGATGTGGCACCCAGGACTGCGAGATGTGTCGCCGTCCCATTCGGCCGCCTGTGACGAAGTGGATGAGGTCTCCCTACATGGAGGCCAAGGCCGAGATTTCGGTCCACCTCGGGCCACCCAGAGGCTGCAGGAAGCCAAGAAGAACAGGCACAACGACCCGTTTTCCCTAAATCTGGCGGAGCAGCAAAGGCAGACAGTGGAGGCCATTGCAGCCCGAAGATGTCTCGAGCAAGCTCATGATGAGAATGAGGCGCTTCGACGCAGCTGGAGGGCTGCAGAGGCCCTGGCAGCAGAGAAGTCCAGAAGAAGCGAGGCCGATGTGGCGGAGCTCTGTCAGGAGGCCGGCCGCCTCACTGTGTCCTTGGGCTTGGCAGAGGAGAAGCACAGCAAGTCGGAGGCCTTGGCCATGCAACTGCGCCAAGACCTGTCCTCTTTGAGGGAGGAGGGGAAGGCTCGCGAGAGGGATTTACGACAGGAGGCGGAGCGGCTGTGGTCCGAGCTGGAGGCGACGTCGGCAAAGCTCACGCAGCACGAGGCAGCTTGGCAGACTCAGATGGACGACTTCGCGACGAAGCTGGCAAAGGAAAAGTCGAAGCGGGAGCGTGGCAAGGGAGAGCTTGCTGCGCTAAGGCAGGAGCTGGAGCGCTGCAAGCTGGCCGAGCAGGAGGCTGAGGCCTCGCGAAAGGAGGGCGAGAAGGCGTGTGCACAAGAGTGCGAGCACCTTCGTGACCAGATGCGTGCCGAGGCTGAGGAGGCGATGCGATGGCGCTCCGAATGGGCAGCTGCTCGAGCGCATGGCTCTGCAGATCCGGCTTTTTCAGCGCCCACGCTGCGTCTGGAGCTGCGCAAAGCCGAGGCAGCCTTCGCGGAAGAGCTGTCGTCCGTTCGTGCGAGGTTGGCTGCAGCCGAGAGGCGAAACCGGGAGTTGCTCGAAAACTTGCAGAGCACACTGCAGGCTGGTCGGCAATCTTCTGCCCCCCCTGCCGCTGTGCCAACACCCCCGACAAGCCTCCCGCAGGAGTTCAGACCCCTGGAAGCCTTCCAGTTGGGACCGAAGGCCGATGAGCAGGACATCAGTACTCACGGAGACGCTTGGCAGCAGTGGAGCCGCCAGAGACAGTACCCAGAGCAGGATCTGTGGCAACTCCAGGAGCAGCAAAAGGCGAGAGAGGTGCAGCTTCTTCGGCAGCAAGAACGACAGCCGCTGCGCATGCAGCCCAAGGAAAGGCCGATTGACGCCACCATAGCCATGAGTTCTAACTTCAGTGGTGGCATTGGCGCAAGCTATGCCGAGCAGGACGGCGGCGGGTCTGTAAGCAGCACGGCCACAATCAAACCCGGCGGCACCGGCCATGGTAGGCATCTGACTCGCTTGCCAAGTGCCCCAAGTTTCGAGATCGACGCCAAAAACGCTGACAACGAAGCCCAGATTGGGGAGGCGCTGCGGCGAGCAGCGCGGCAGCGGAGGGTGGCCAAGACTCGGAGCTTGGATGACGAGTACGCGCGGTTCGTGCGTGACGCGCGCCGCCCGGCATCTATGCCCGTTTGACCCTGACAAGGATGCCTCGGTGCCTCGATGCCTCTGGCTTCGGCCAGGAACTTCAGCAGGAGCACACTGCACAGGCTCTGAGCCCTGCACTTGGAGGTTCATGAGCAGTTATAGGTAGGGTTAGAAGTACTCCAAGTAGAGTCATAAGATGTTATAAGCATAGTTACCATATACTTAATAACCCGAATGATAGCTACCCATGAACCTCCCTGATGTGGTTGCTGACCAAGCTGCGACTGGATTACCTCGGCGCGGACATCGGCAAGCAAAGGCTTGGTCTGAAGTGTACTGCTTGGAGGTTTAGGGTTTAGGGTTTAGGGTTTAGGGTTTAGGGTTTAGGGTTTAGGGTTTAGGGTTTAGGGTAATTAGAATGAAGGATAATGAAGGGTTATAAGTATGGTAACTACACTTATAGCCGTACTTGGAGTACTTAGAACCCTATACTTATAGCTACTCATGAACCTCCAAGTATGTCTATGTGTCACAACTCAGAATCAGACGTGTCGGGCATTTGCGGGCACTTCTGGGAGGAGGGGAGATGACGTGTGCGTGTGGTAACCTTCCACCCTGACCCAAGAGACAAGTGCCTCTTTTATTGCTTCAGCAAAGAATGGTGTTGCATGCTAAGTTATGAGCACGTGATAAGGTTCTTGGGGTATGAGGGAAAGAATTCGTAGGGTAATGTCGGCTATTAAATGAGAGTAGTAGGGTTTAGAGGATTTTACAGGGGCTTAGGGTTTTGAAAGAGGAGCGTGAAAGAATTAGTAGGGTAATGTCGGCCATTCGAGTAGTAGGGCTTAGGGTGTTACAGGGGCTTTGGGTTTTGAAACGGCTATTAGAGTAGTAGGGGTTAGGGTTTTACAGGGGCTTAGGGCTTTGAAAGAGGAGTCTGGCAAGGTCACTGGCATTCCTGCGACACACGCCAGTGCTGCCTTGGCCTTGGCACGACGAAAGCCGCCCCGCACTTTGCAGGACCGGGGGTTGGGGCTGCTACCCGAAACCCTAAACCCTGAACCCTAAACCCTAAACCCTAAACCCTACTACACCTTGAGTAGCCATGTGAGAGTGCGGGCCGAAGGGAAGGTGCTGGCATGAACAAGCTTCTAGGTTCAAAAGTGGGCTTCTGATGTCTATGATTTATTTGTTCAAGTTGGTTAGGGGTTTAGGATTGAGGGTTTGCCCTAAACCCTAAACGCTAAACCCTAAACCCTAAACCCTAAACCCTAAACCCTATCTAAACCCTAGACCCTAGACCCTAAACCCAAAGCGTTTGTAGATGTTTGGGCTTGAAAGGGTTCACCTGCATAATTTTGGGGGTTTACACGGTTTTTGGGCTTTGGCTGGGAGGATCTGTATGGCGACATGCAGCATATGTCACCTACCCCTCCACATCATAAGCTCAGCTCTCCAGGGATAGCATGAGAGTCGACATCCTAAACCTGCTAAACCCGGTCCTTCTGGTTGAAAGTTTGTCAGGTCTTTCACTTCGAATGTTGGGTGTGGTCGGGTTCATGAAGCAGTGCCTTGCTTCTTGATGCACTCCAGACGATCCAGGGGAAGGGCAGAGGGGGAGGGAAGTAACATGCTTGCCGCTGGACACACCTGTTTTTACCACTACGCGAGCAGTCGAAACGCCAGCGCCCTGCCCAGTTAGAAAAAGGGGCCCGTGCAAACCTGAAAACTGAACGCCATCGGCCGACCGCATACCCTTGAATATCCTTAAACCCAAATTAAACCTTCCAAACCCACATATAAGCCATATTCCCCTTAACCCCTAACCCCTAACCCCTAACCCCTAACCCCTAACCCCTAACCCCTAAACCCTAAACCCTAAACCCTAAACCCTAAACCCTAAACCCTAAACCCTAAACCCTTAACCCTTAACCCTTAACCCTTAACCCTTAACCCTTAACCCTTAACCCTTAACCCTTAACCCTTAACCCTTAACCCTTAACCCTAAGCAAGCTCATGCTGCAAAGGACATCCCACAGTTCGCGGACAGGGGTCCATTTCGCGCCTTAGCCTTGGAGAAGGGACTCGACGAGGCCCCCAGCAGCCCAGAAAATGGATCCTGGTACCCTGTGCTAGGGTTTAGGGTTTAGGGTTTAGGGTTTAGGGTTTAGGGTTTAGGGTTTATAGAAATTGTATAGGGTTCAGGTCCGGGGTTTTGGGCGAAAGTTTTGGGCGGGTTTTGGGCGAAAATTTGAGCGAGTTTTCTTTTTTGGTTAGGAACTGTATAGGGTTTGTGTCCGGAGTTTTGGGCGGTTTGGTGAATATTGGGGAATCTTGATGTTTGGTTTTGCTGAAATTTGGTTTCCGATATTTTAGGTTAGAAATTATAGAGGATTTGAATCCGCAATTGTATCAAGGATGGGTAATATCAAATCCTCCAAAATTCAAATTTTTAAGGTCTAGGAATCTTTGGATATCGAAACAAAACCTCCAGAATTCAAATTTTGAAGGTCTAGGAATCTTTGGATATCTGTCTAGGAATCTTTGGATATCTGATCAAAATCTCCAGAATTTAAATTTTGAAGGTTTGGAGAGTTTTGGATATGGGATCAAAACCTCCAGAATTCAATTTTTGAAGGATTGGGAACCTCTGGATATTTGATCATAATCTCCAGAATTCAAATTGGATATCGAATCAAAATCTCCATAATTCAAATTTTGATGAAGGTCTAGGAATCTCTGGATATCGAATCAAAACCTCCAGAATTGAAAGATTGAAGTATTGGAAAAATTCAAATATTGAAGGATCCTGATCCAAATCTCCAGGATTCAAATTTTGAAGGTCTGGGAATCTTTGGATATGGAATCAAAACCTCTAGAATTCAAATATTGAAGGGTTGGGAATTTCTAAATATATATTCAAAATCGCCAGAATTCAAATTTTGAAGGTCTGGAGATTTTTGGATATGGGATCAAAACCTCCAGATTCAATTTTTGAAGGATTGGCAATCTCTGGACATTTGATCAAATTCTCCAGAAATCAAATTGGATATCGAATCAAAATCTCCAGAATTCAAATTCTTTTGATCAGATATCCAGAAATGCCCAATGCTTCAAAATTGGAATTCTGCAGGTTTTGATTCGATATCCAAGATTCCTAGACCTTGAAAATTTTAATTCTAGAGGCTTTGATTAGGTATCCAGAGATTCCTAATCCTTCAAAATTTGCATTCTGGAGATTTTGATTCGATATCCAATTTGATTTCTGGAGAATTTGATCAAATATCCAGAGATTGTCAATCCTTCAAAAATTGAATTCTGGAGGTTTTGATCCCATATCCAAAACTCTCCAAACCTTCGAAATTTGAATTCTGGAGATTTTGAATATATATTATAGAAATTGTATAGGGTTTGTGTCCGGCGGCTTGGGCGAAAGTTTTGGGCGGGTTTTGGGCGAAAGTTTTGAGCGAGTTTTCTTTTTTGCTTTTGGCAAGAAGGAATACCATTCCATTTCAGGATTGGGGCTGCTGGGGCTGCTGGGGCTGGTGGGACTGGGGTTGGGGGTTCGGCCTTCTGGGGTGGATTATTGGACGAGCTGCTCGAAATGAAACGCATACAATTTCTATTTATCCTGGTCTTGAGGGTTTAGGGTTTAGGGTTTAGGGTTTCGGGTTTAGGGTTTAGGGTTTAGGATAAGAGAGACCTCGTTGACAAAGGATTTGGGATAGTCCGTTTTCGAGTTTGTGAGAGTTTCACTCTCAGGGGGAAGAATTTTGAAGAATTGTAGTTTGGCTCCAGTGTTGTAGGGGGGTTGTGGCCACGATGAGCGTGATGCTTCCGTCAAGCTTCAGAAAAAGTAGCTAGTGGCTTTCTAGGCCTACCCTGTCAATCCCCCGTTCCATAAAAAACTGTCCTATTGAAGAGGCCGGAAAAATCCAGCCGCGCAAAAAATCCGTCCGCTTTAATGATGGTCAGAAACCTATTTCCTGGTGGAAACCAGACACCCACACAATTCTGCAGAAAAAGTTGCCTTTTCAGAAAAAGTGTCCTCTTGTTGGGTTTGCGTTGGGTTTTGGGTACGCTTTTTTCCCAACATTTTCCCAACATTTTTTCAACAAAGTACGGATTCGGTACGGTTTACGTTTTTTGGGCTACCCCCCAAAAACCCAACAAAACCCAACATTATGTTGGAAAAACGTTGGGTTCAGAGTACGCTTTTTTGTGTCCTGCTCAGGTCACCTATTCTTTGGTGCACAAGACTCTGCACAGGGCTCGGGAAGGTTCCCCTGAACTCCGAAAATCCAGCCGCTTTGATCGTATTCCCCGATCCCAATAGAACACCAACACCTCGCTTTTGCACGCAAAAAACCAGAAAAAACCATAAGGACAGAAATTTCTGTCCGCCAGGATTAACAGGACGAGTCTTGCTGGGGCGCATGCCAAAACACACATTGTGGTGGTCCTCATACTCCATGCTCACGGATTGAGTGATACTTGCCATTGAACGCCGGGCGCAAACATGTTGAGCTAGCTGTGCGGCTTTTCCTTCAGGAGTCCGTGGGAGCTTTGTTCCGCCTCCTGACTGACCGATATTGACTGCTGTTGCATGTGGCGCATGATTCACTCCAAAGCTTCCCGTGCAATCGCCATTCTTAGGAGTTGCAGCGGCCTTCGGCGTCACCTGGCAGGGTTACCTGATCCCCCCCGAGTAATATTTGGGGGTTTACGAAAATAGGTTCCACTAAAAATGACCCCACAATAATCGGATTCCCTCATAATAAGGGCCCGAAACAATGTACCCCTAAGTTCGGAAACCAGCATATGAGCGCATGCTCATATGTGAACATGACTGAACCTTTCTGCAACTCCTAAACCCTTAACCCTAAACCCCTTGGGTCTATTTGCAGCGGCCCCAGGTGTCCGCGGTGCTCTGCGATTCTGAGTGCGGTGACCCCTTTCACCGACGGGCAGTACGGGCACCTCTGCCTAAGTCCGGCTGGTTCTTAGCAGGGAATGAGTCGGAATGAGAGAACGATGTAAGCCCTGAA